AGGCCAGCCAGCCTGTGCTACATAGTGAAGCCAAAGCCAATCTGAATTACATAGTGAGACCTTGTCTCAAAAAACCTAAAATTAGCTAGGCATGGTGGTGCAGGCCTATAATCCCAACACGTGGGAGGCTGAAGCAGAAGGACTGTTGAGTTTGAGACCAGCCCGTGCTACAAAGTGAGCTGAAGGTCAGTGTGAACTGCAGAGCAAGAGCCTATCTCAAAAAGACAAAAAAGGGCTGGGGATATAGCTCAGTGGTACAAGCGCCTGCCTAGTAAGCACAAGGTCGATTCCCAGTACAAAAAAAAAAAAAAACTAAAATTAAATAAATAAAATAACCAAAGCCAAGCACTGTGACACACATCTGTAATCTCAGCACTTGGAAGCTGAGGCAGGAGTACCACAAATTTGAGGCCACAGCCTGAGCTACCTAGTGAGTTCAGGGCCAGCATGAATTACAGAGGGAACCATATCTCAAAACAATAACAAAAAAATCACTAGTCCAGTGTGGTGTTGCACACCTGTAATCCCAGTATTCAGGAGGCTGTTTCAGGAAGGTCACCATGAGTTCAAAGCCAGCCTGGGCTACATAATGAGTTCAAGGGCAGCTTGAACTACATATACGGTTACACCCTGTCTCAAAAAAAAAAAAAATTGGGCGTGGTGGCGCATACCTGTAATCCCAGCACTCTGGAGGCTAAGGCAGGAGGATTACTGTGAGTTCAAGACCAGCCTGGGCTACAAAGTGAACTCAAGGCCAGCCTGAACTGCATAGCAAGACCCTGTCTCAAAAAGACAAAAATAAAGAAAAAAAAACCTAACAATCACCCTAAGATCATTCAGTGAAAGAACTTCAGCAAAGCAAGTGATGGTGAATCTTTTAAAGCTTTCAATGATTCTCTTTATCATATTATTATAAAAAGTAACCAAAATCTACATAGTAGTATGTACTGATAGTCCCCCAAATTAAATCAAATGCCCACAAAAGTACTACATGGTGTTTGGAAAATAAATTCCAATATTTTAAAAAATACAAGATAAAAAAAGATCCAATTCACTGGGCATGGTGGCACATGCCTGTACTCCTAGCACTCGGAGGGGCTGGGAATTTAGCTCAGTGGCACAGCGCCTGCCCAGCAAGCGCAAGGTCATGAGTTTGATCCCCTGTACCAGAAAAAAAAACAAAAACAAACAAACAAAAAATCTTACTACTAGGGAGGCTGAGGCAGGAGGATTGCTGTGAGTTCGAGACCAGCTTGGGCTACAAAGTGAGCTCAAGGCCAGCCTGAACTACACAGCGAGACCCTGTCTCAAAAAGATCAAAAAAATAAAAAATGAAACATCCAATTCAACTCAGTATGCATAATACTATTTGCAAGATTTAAGAAAAAGTGCTTTGTTCCTAAAAATACAAAACCTAAATCCTATAATTAATCCATTTACTCAGTAAACATTTATTGATCACCTACTAAGTGCCAGCTCTTACTCTGATACAACATTAAAGACAAAGTCCCTATGGTCATACAGCTGACACACACATAGGAAAGAAAAACACGAAAATAATAAGTAGACAAATGTATAACACCAGATAGATACATGCCATAAAGAAAATAAAAGACAAGGGGACAAGGAATGCTTGTGCCATGAAGAAAATAAAAGACAAGGGGACAAGGAATGCTAAAAGCAGCAGTGTGAGGGCCTGGAAAATGACAGGGAAGACCTCTCCCTAGCAGTGACTTAGAACAGTGAGCTTAATTCAGCCTAAATCGTTTCAATGCCAATCAAGTTTCAGGCAATAGTTTTCTTCACCTTGTCATACTCCCCTCACCTTTTTTTCCCCAAAAAAATGTATGCTGCAGCAGATGTTCTACTGTTGCTACTTCTACTATTTTAGAAGAGGGAAAAAAATCTCATACAAGGTATTGACAGGTGCTTCACAAATAAGTACAAGTTTCAAACCACATACATTCTGCTTTTTTTGGTGTTTGGTTTTTTTGGCGGCAGGGAGCAGGTACTAGGAATCAAACTCATGGGCTGGGGATTTAGCTCAGCAGCACAGCGCCTGCCTAGCAAGCACGACCTCATGAGTTCGAGTAAGGGAAAAAGAAAAAAAAAAAAAAAAAAAAAACACTCAGGACCTCACTGGGTGTGGTGGCGCACGCCTGCAATCCCAGTACTCAGGAGGCTGAGGCAGGAGGATCGGTGCAAGTTCGAGGCCAGCCTGGGCTACAAAGTGAGCTCAAGGCCAGCCTAAACTGCATAGCGAGATCCTATCTCAAAAAGACAAAAAAAAAAAAAGAAAGAAAGAAAAGAAAGAAAGTCAGGACCTTGCATTTGCCAGGCAGGCACTTATGCCACTGAGCTATATATCCCCCGCCCTCAAACCACGCATATTCTGGGGGAAAAAAATGTTAAGCGACTTGTGAGAGGATTAAAGCTAAAATGAAGCAGAACTCAAGAATCTGAAATAGAATTTCAAGAAAATGACATGCTACCTCTCTAACTCTATAATCTATCTGTTTACTTCCCATTATATATGAAAAGAAGGAGGATATCAGCATCAGGAATATATATTTGAAAGAGATTTGGCTATTTTTCACTTAAAGATAGAAAAATAGGATATCCTCCTCTTAAAAGCCACACCACTACCCAGCGTGATGGTGCACGACCGTGATACGGGCATTTGGGAGGCTGAGGCAGGAGGATCATTATGAGTTTGAGGCCAGCCTGGGCTACAAAGTGAGCTCAAGGTCAGCCTGAACTGTATAGTGAGACCCTGTCTCAAAAAGACAAAAAAAAAAAGCAGTAATATTGGTCAATGGAAAGAAGGTACTTTAAAAAAGAATTTTTCCCCATGGAACTGGGGACTGAACTCAGGGCCTTCTTACTGACCTACTTCCCAGCTCTTACCTATTTTAGACAGGGTCTTACTAAGTCACGAAGTTGCTCAGGCTGAGCTAGAACTTCCCATCCTCCTGTTCAGGCTCACACAGTGCTGAGATTACAAATGTGCACCACCACACCCAGCTATAAAAATTTTTTCATCTATACTGTCATCTGGTTTGCCTTGTCTTCTTTCTTACCTAACAATGCAAATATTCTCCCAGGACTCATAGATCCAAAACAAAAAACACAAAACCTTACTTCTTTCTCAGTAGTTATTAATCATTTTGTGCCACAGACCTCTTTGGCAGTCTGGAGAAGCCTATGCCCCTTCTAGCACTGCTTTTAAAAGCGTGACATTTATACATGTACCAACTCTCCAAGATGATTGTAAAATGCATGTACTGCAAACATATACTAATAAAATTTTTTAAAAGTGATAAAAAAGAGGCAGGGAATAAGAAAGGAGAAGGGGTGTACAGGCAGGTTAATAGGGGGATGGATGTGAGCAAATTATATTACACCTGAAACTCCCCCAAAAAATGTGAAACTAGGGGGAAGGGGTGGGGAAGGGGTAGTCAGGAGGGGTAAAAATGACCAACGTGTATTATGTGCATGCACTAATCTGCCAAAATTAAATTCATTAATCTGTATTACCAATTAAAAAAAAGAGTGAAGCGCCTGCCTGGCAAGCGCAAGATCGTGAGTTCGGTTCCCGGTACCGGAGAAAAACCAAAATAAATAAATAAATAAATAAATAAAAATTTTAAAAAGAGTGAAAAAAAAAGGCATGATACAGCCATCTGTGGTGGTGCATACTTCTTATCCCAGCACAAGGGAGGCTAAGGCAGCAGGATTCTAACTTTAAGGCCAGCATGGACTACTCAGCAAAATCTTATTTCAAAATAAAAAGTATAAATAAAAACATGATAGCTGTGACTACAAAGAAAATATAATGGAATATTAACAAAACAAAAACTGATATGGTAATATATGCTGCAGCTATGTCATAGTTAACAAGATCTGACAGTAGCTCTAGCAATACCACAAATTCAAAGAAGTCAAACAAATGATATTCTGAGGTATCTTCATTAACTTAAACATGATAAAGAAGTACCTAAGGAGGCATGGTGGCGCACACCTGTAATCCCAGCACTCGG